GATCATACCCAACCCAACAAAGTGGCTACACTTTGGTTTTCCATGTGACATCTTTCAGTTTGTGTGGATTGATGTGGTGTATTGGGTCGCGGAGTGAGAAACACAGGTGCGGTATATCGAGAACTTGAGGTCAACAGGTCGTTAGAGTCAGAGCTCAAGATTGTGTGAAAAGGCTGAGGCCAGGATGGTCCAAAGATTTACGGTGAGTTTTCGCATGTCGTCCTCGGGACTGCGCAAAACGGGCTTTGCAGCAAGGCCTCATGTGGCGCAGGCGCACTCTGCAGCAGCTGGCACCGGCAACCGGACAGGCCCACTGCGGCTGACAGAACTGAGAGCCCGAACCATGGACGACTGCCACAACGTCGTCTGAGTCAAGGGTCTGAGGCTCATCGGGCCAGTTCAAGCTCGTGCAGCTCATGCCCATCCGGGCGCTGCGCGTGGTGTCGCTTCAGGGCCAGCGCGGTTCAGAAGATTGCTGCGCGACTCGGCACAATTACACTAGCTGTCGCTCCAAGCGCGTGGAAATAGTGGTCTCTGGCTTTAATGTAACTGTGAAGTGCGCGTACAAGCACCTGCCCAGCAAGCAAAACCAAAAGTCAAGACCCGGCGTAGAAACTAGTGCCGGCTCTCAAGCATTGGCTTGAGAAGATTTTGATGCTGCAAACGGTTTGCAAGGCCCACCGGCACCAAAGCACAAGCCTCGTATCATCGGAGCTGAGCACGAGAGCTGTGGGGCTCCGGGGCCTGAAGCTTAGAAACCCTTAAGTGGCAGCGGGTAGGAATGTTGAAAAACCTTTGCTCTCGGCCCTCAAATTCTGGGGATCAGCACTGCTGTACCCAAAGCGGTCTGGGTCCCATGGTCCGCCTTCTGTTCGTCGCGTTTACATATGGAGATCGGATTTCAAGCTTCTGCCCATGACCACCGTCCGCAGATCCATCAAACAACTCTCGGCAACAGCCGTGGAATTTCCGAAGTCTGGGCCTTTGTCCTGGAGTGGACTTCAGCGTTTAGGGTGGAGTTTAAGAAGCTTGATGCATGTGACTTACAAGCCGTCTTGGAGCCAGACAGCCCGTCGGCAGAATGCCGACATGGTGCAAAATAATGCCTTCGCTCTTCACGCTCACTATATTTTTGCTGTATTAACTGTCAAGCACCCGTCTGCATGTCATGTACGAAAGTCACACCACTTCCTTCTGCAGCGAGTGAAAGATCGCAGTGCACCGCGTTGATTTGGAGCAGCGGCAGCATGCGGGGCCGCATGCTGCCCAACGAAAAGATTCGTCGAAGCACCTTGTGAATTCGCGCACGGTGGTTTCTCGTGCCTGCCTCGTAGACCAGCAGTAAACCTGTCTACGTTCTCCTTACGAGATGTCATCAGTCGTGAAATCAACTCGTCGGTCTTTGCGTTGTCGACAAAAGAGATCTCCCTGGTGCCCGGTGCCATCGCCAGCCTCCGCAATTGACGTAGGCCCGAAGAGGACTTCATAAGGATGGGGTTCATGTTCAAGCTTCACTTCTAGAGTAGAGTGTCTGGGAAAGCCATGCATGATTGCTTGCTGAAAGTCTGAAGTCTGATGAGCTATGTAGGGGTTCACGACATGCTGCTTCTGTGAACTCTGGTTCATGCGCGTTGCAGTGGTTCGGTTTCCTTGTGATGAGTCCGTTGGCATTCAATCCATTACGGAGCACGGGGGACCCTGAACGCCCGACAGACGCCTGGGTCAAGCAGAGGACGTTGGTCGCGACATGCCTTGGCCAACACCGAGCCTGCGGCAGTCGGCAAGTTTCTGGAACCAAACTACTCGAGCAGCCAAGGAAAAATAAAGAGCCCCAGGCTTCCAGCCTGCTACTGTTCTATGTTCTACCTCACTTCTTTTGTTCTTCGAACCTGACCGTATCACGCAATGTGTGTCGTGTGCACTCCGTCCACAGGCGCTCGCACGACAAAGACACAGGGCAACTACTGTATGAGTGAAGCAGCATTGCATGTTGGTAGTTTTGCTACCTTCTTTTTTCACAGCTCAGCCGTGCCCAGCAGAGGTTTCGCAGTTCAAGGATGTCGCCAAGCAGTGCCAGTGTGATTGTGCGACGGCAGCCCGGTCCTCCGACGAACGAGGATGTCAAGGTGCCCAGGCACGCCCCATGAGAACTGCACTGGGCACCTGAGGACAACAGGTCGATGGCTCAGCGGCTTAGCTTGTGTTTGGGTGAGGGAAGGCTTATAAACTTATAATGTGGCAGTAGCGGCCGTCAGACTTGACGTGCGTGAGAAACCAACGACTTGGCATGCGAATCCCCAAATCTCTACTATTTTGGGGGCTTCTTCTTTCTCTTACAGTATAGTGGGCCCCCAAAACCCTATTCTGATAGTCAAGGCCCTATAGACTGCTTCAGAAACTCGCCGCCGGACTCCCGGACTCTCAACGCCTCAATGCCTTGGCCGCAAATGGGAGTATCCGAAACTTTAGGAAGACCTTATTTTGGGGATCCTGCTTTATTCAGGGGCACTATATTAGGGTCCCCTATTTTCGGAAACTCCCAAAACCCAAACCCAGGCCTCTCCCAAGCCAAATTTTGTTATCATCCGTCTTTATCCAAGACACTGCCGTCGCGGCGTTGCCGCAAGGAGGCGTGGCATAAGGAGCAGCTGCGTAGATGATCGGCTAACGCTGGAAATGATCCTCTGGACTTGGTCTTTTTTTCAAACACGCTGGCTTGCAACGTTCTTGCCATAGGACCTCCCGGCTTAGGCCAACGCAGTCTCTCATCTAAGTGCCTCTGACTACGCCTATACGCCTACCGGTCCGGGCTCATGCCTAGCCGAGGCGGATTCAAAGTGCCATGGGTGCCATGCGAATATGTCCATGAGCCGAAACAGCGCCGCAAAGGTCCGTTCTGCCGGCAAGCCCAAAGAAACACAGCCGAAAAGCCCTGCAAACCTATATACCTCCAGCCCAGAACTCGATCCTTGCAAGTCCGCGTGCCAGGTTGAGATACCTTTGCATCGATCGCTGTGTGTGTGTGTGTGTGTGTCCTTAACTCTCTCCTCGCGCGAGGTGGCGGAATAATTATCATCCTGCAAACCTGACACCTCCACAAATTCCATGGCCCCCCCCTTCTCACTCCATGGCCTTGACTTCTAAAAATCCTGAAGCCCGCCGCGCAGACCCCGACTGACTCGACTTCCCCGGCCCAGGGCCTTTGGATTTCAGGTGCCATGCCATGTATGAGCCAAGTGCAGAGCCTTCATTGTCAACCCCACCCTCCAGCCTGCCCCGCCCGAGATACCACCTTTTTCGCCATTTTCATGCGCAGAACTCCGCCGTGGCGTGTGCACTGTAACACCCAAATCGGCTCCCCGGATCCCCGGGCGGATTTGGCCTGAAGCGCATGTGCACAAGCGCAGCGACATCTGTGTCGTGAAGAGACGCCCGTCTCCGGACCTCGACGCACCAACTCGGCACACTTGGCATCTCTGATGTCGAGATTTCAACAGCCCCAGAACGGCCTCTCACGATGGGAGACGTTGACTACGGGGCGACAGGCTTGGGCGGCGGTTCGCCCGCAAGGGCAGCATTCAGAGCTTTCCTGAGCAATGTGAAAGAACAAACGCTGAGCTCCGTTGATTTGCAGAGAAGCTGGAGCATTGCTCCTGTGCGGAGCTCGCTGATGCCGAAGACGAAAGCTTCGTCAGCCACGAGCAAACATTGTGAGCTTTCGCCGAAAGCTGCAGGTCTGGTTCTCATCAAATGGTAATCGCATCGCAAGAGACAGCAGAGGTATCTCTCAGACCAGCGACCCCGGAACCGCTACTTTAAATGCTCTCGCACTACCGCCGAGTTCCCGGAGCAGATGCAAGGATGCAGTGATCAGAGACTGCTTTACGCGCCTGCATTTCTTCAAGCTGCCAGAACCCCTCCGTCAGGTGACTGCTGCAGACTGCTATCTGCGGCCACCGGACCCGAAGCGCGAGGAATGCTCGGCATTTCGTGCAACATGATGTCCTCAGCACACAGCCAAGACTGGATGCGCCCATGTGCAGAGACCTTCAGCGCACCTGACTCGGAAGTCAGCACACTTTGCTCCCTCGAGGATATCGCCCTGCAGCTATGACTGCCACCACCCGGCCAGCTGTCACGCCAGAGGGCGAAAAATGTCCGAGCCCTCCTCGGACATTTCAACTTGGAAGTGCTCCAAATCACCTGTGGACGAGCGGGACTGAATCATGGATGTTCCAACAACCAGGCTCAAACCTTCCATGCAACACCGAGCTAGCATGGGAGCCATGTGACGTTGTGGCGACGAGCTATGATCTGCGGCAAGCCAGTACATTGCTGCCTGGCTGATGCATGGACGTGCATCGGAAAGCACGACTTGTCAGGGACTTGTACAGCACTTTGTGCACACACTGACAGTGTTTCTGTCTCACATGTTGCCGTTGCAAGCAGTGTCATGTGACAGTGTCTTCGCAATGAGCAGCTGTCATGCAGAGGGCGGACCAATGCCCGGGCCCTCAAAAGACAGTTCGACTTGGAAGTGCTCCAGATCTGTGGACGAAATGGACTGAATCCTGGATTCCTCGGATGTTGCGACAAGCAGCCTCAAACGTTCCGTAGAAGACTGAGCTAACATGGGAGGCACGTGACGGAACCTATCATATGCGGCAGGCCAACAGGTATATACATTGCTGCGCGGCTGATTCACAGACGTGCATCGGAAGGCACGGCTTCTCAAAGACTTGAGAAGGACTCTGTGCACACACTGGAAGTGCTGCTGCCTCGATTGTCTCGCATGTTGCCGTGGCAAGCAGGACCAGGAAACCGAACTGTGAGCATGCTGATCACCAATCTGCCAGCCTTCACATCGGACGGCATACCGCGCCGAGCCAACATGTTCATGTCAGTGCCTTCGCAAAGAGCTGTATGTAGATGATGTGGCCGGACAGCAAGCACTTTGCCGCCAGGATGCTGCAAAACATCGAATTGCAAGTTGCGACTGTTCAGAAAGTCTTGGAGCGCATGGTTCCTGTACAAGCACGAAGAGGGAATGACAGACCCACACGGAACACAGCGCCTGCAGCATAAGGTGGCTCGTCAGTCCTGTTGACGAGGCATGCACCGCTCCAAGCAAACACAGACGTATACAGACCCTCTGTCAGGTGGCTGCTGTCTGTGGCCACAAGACCAGAAGCCTGACATATGCTCGCAGTTTCACGGAGCACTATGTCCTCCGCACACAGCCACGACTGGATGCGCCCTTGTCCGGGAACCTTCAGCACACCTGATGCGGACGGCGGCACATTTTGCTCGCACGGGGAAACCCTGTAGGTACGACGATCACCAGCCGGCCAGCTGTCACGCGAGGGCAGATACATGTCAGAGGCCTCGAAAGGTATGTCTAGTCGGAAGTGTTCCAAATCATCGGTGTAGGATGCTGGGCATGGTGGACATCATGGGCTCCAGCAAGCCCCTCGAGCTAACATGCGAGCCTTGCGACGAAGAGCTGTACATGTGGCAGGACAGCAGGCGCATTCCTGCCAAGAAGATGCGACGTGCATCGGAAGGTGCGACTTCTCATCACTCTTCTTTAAGATGGCGACTTGGGGGTTTCTGCATAGAGACGAGTGCAGAATCCACTGCACCCGAAAAGCTGGGTTGAATGCAAGCCTGGTCGATCCGAGTTGTTCCGTCTCGCAGGCTGCCAGCCATCCCCGACGCCACGCAAGCTCCCGCAGGAGCGATGACCGTCTGCAGGCAACCGCGGTCTTGCAAGGCCTGGAACATCAGCTGCGACGTTCACCGCTCCAAGACAGGCTTTCTCTCAAGTGACTGCAGACGGTGACCGCTGCCTGTCCAAAGGCACAAAACTTCAGGGCCGGCATTTCTCGCATAACGTTGGCGACCTGGGATTGCCGTGATGCGGTCTGGGCACCGAGATTTGGCAAGTTATTGTGCAGGAGGCTGACCGTGTCATGTAACACCGGAATCTCCGTTGAGCTCGGAAGCTTTGAGACATGAAGTCCGCTACACGCCTACCATCCCCTGGTGTGCAATGATTTCGAAGCTTGGGAACACAATCGCAAACCTGTCCGACGTAGATCTTCTCAATGCCTGGGCAACGCCGAATCGAAGGCGAGACCGCCGAAGCCGCCGAAATCGATTTGGCCTGAAACTCTTCACGTTAGAACCATAAAAATACCCCTGTGAGCGAAGCACCTTCGGCCCTTCGCACTTCTTCTCCAGCTCTCGGCTCCGATCGCGGACAGCCCCGCTTTCCGGCCGGTGGGCTTCTGAGCTGATCTATAATCGGAAAGGTTGGAACCCGCCGAGGCAAAGCAACACGTGTAGGGGCCTTGAGCAGCAGGCTTAAGCGGCACAAGCAGACAAGTCATCCAAAAGAAGAACCACCCATCATTCGTTTCGAGCACCCCGTTCGGCAGGGCCGCAGCCAGAGACAGCAGATCTGATATGGCAATTTAATGACACAAGCCTAGACAGCGGAATGCCGTTCTTGGCCATGCTTCCTGCTTCTCGCATCTTGCTGAGCCGGAGGTCGCTCCCACTGCGCAGCTTCGAAACCCTCGGTGCAGGGGTACCTAGGCTTCTTAGCCCCGGCCCAAGCCTCTCAGCGACCTCCGAATGGAGGCCTGCCAGCCGCTGCACCTGGTGTCGCTTGCAAGCACGTCACGAAACCGTCTCACCACCAAGCGCTCGGTGTTTTTAGCAATTCTTCATGAACGACATGATCAGTAACACCATTCAGACTGCAACGCAACCTGATGCAGGCCTTTCGAAGCAGACTAGAACCTGGACCCGCGAGCTCCGAGCCTAGGCTCTGGTCTCTGGGTCACTGCAGCAATCGCAGGCAAGTCTGAGTTTCAGAAGACGTTTGTTGCAACCGTAAATGTCGTCTGCTCCGCAGGTGAAGCCAGCAGCGACACGATCACACGGGTCACACGAGCCCGCCACCGTAAGCGCTCAGTGCGCAAGTAAGCAGCCAATGGCGGTAGTCTGCCAGCCTTCTGCAGGAACCACACGATCCTTAGCACCCTTCAAGTTACAATGCAAGCGGATGTAGGCCTTTCGAGGCAGACCGGAACCCGGAGTCGCGAGCAGAAAGCCCTTCATGCATCCGGCCTGAAGCCCTGAAGTTCTCTGGGTCACTGATGGTTTCTGCGGCCGAGCGCGTCGCAGGTGTCGCGAATTGAGGGTCTGACGCGTCCGTACACCGTCGGAGCCCTCAGCGCAACAGAGGAACCTCTGTTCCCCCTGCCAAAGCAGACCCGGCTTCTTCGAGCCTACAGCCTAACTACATGTGCACTTGAGAACTACAGGTTTGCCGCATGCAGCAGGTTGCCAAACTCAGGCCTATACTGGTCTGCTGATCTGCTCACATGCTGTTGCTGCTTGCTTGCATCTCCAGCCTTTGATCTGGCTGATTTCTGCTTTGCAGGCGAAGCCAGCAGCGACATCATCATGCGGCTCGCACGAGCCCGCCACCGGGTGCCGATCGAGGGCGTGACCTGTCTGCACACCTTCGAGACCTTAAGTCCTAAAGGCATCTTAGCAACAGCCCAGGCTCAGGCCAGTCCCATGTTCTGCTACTCTGATTGTTCGCACCTCCGAATGTTCCAAGGTTCTGCAAGCATTGCACCTCCCGGACACCCAGGACTCCCTGTCCCGAAATCGTAGCACAGCCCAACCTAGCATCTGCCAACCGTCCAACTAGCCTTCTTTGCAGGTGAAGCCCGCTTGTTCCGTCCCGGCCGGTGCTTCTGAGCTGATTCAATCGGAAAGGTTGGAACCTGCCGAGACAATCTCAGATTGCAGGCACGAGTCGAAGAAACCGCCGAGGCAAAGCAACACGTGTAGGGGCCTTGAGCAGCAGGCTTAAGCGGCACAAGCAGACAAGTCATCCAAAAGAAGAACCACCCATCATTCGTTTCGAGCACCCCGTTCGGCAGGGCCGCAGCCAGAGACAGCAGATCTGATATGGCAATTTAATGACACAAGCCTAGACAGCGGAATGCCGTTCTTGGCCATGCTTCCTGCTTCTCGCATCTTGCTGAGCCGGAGGTCGCTCCCACTGCGCAGCTTCGAAACCCTCGGTGCAGGGGTACCTAGGCTTCTTAGCCCCGGCCCAAGCCTCTCAGCGACCTCCGAATGGAGGCCTGCCAGCCGCTGCACCTGGTGTCGCTTGCAAGCACGTCACGAAACCGTCTCACCACCAAGCGCTCGGTGTTTTTAGCAATTCTTCATGAACGACATGATCAGTAACACCCTTCAGACTGCAACGCAACCTGATGCAGGCCTTTCGAAGCAGACTAGAACCTGGACCCGCGAGCTCCGAGCCTAGGCTCTGGTCTCTGGGTCACTGCAGCAATCGCAGGCAAGTCTGAGTTTCAGAAGACGTTTGTTGCAACCGTAAATGTCGTCTGCTCCGCAGGTGAAGCCAGCAGCGACACGATCACACGGGTCACACGAGCCCGCCACCGTAAGCGCTCAGTGCGCAAGTAAGCAGCCAATGGCGGTAGTCTGCCAGCCTTCTGCAGGAACCACACGATCCTTAGCACCCTTCAAGTTACAATGCAAGCGGATGTAGGCCTTTCGAGGCAGACCGGAACCCGGAGTCGCGAGCAGAAAGCCCTTCATGCATCCGGCCTGAAGCCCTGAAGTTCTCTGGGTCACTGATGGTTTCTGCGGCCGAGCGCGTCGCAGGTGTCGCGAATTGAGGGTCTGACGCGTCCGTACACCGTCGGAGCCCTCAGCGCAACAGAGGAACCTCTGTTCCCCCTGCCAAAGCAGACCCGGCTTCTTCGAGCCTACAGCCTAACTACATGTGCACTTGAGAACTACAGGTTTGCCGCATGCAGCAGGTTGCCAAACTCAGGCCTATACTGGTCTGCTGATCTGCTCACATGCTGTTGCTGCTTGCTTGCATCTCCAGCCTTTGATCCGGCTGATTTCTGCTTTGCAGGCGAAGCCAGCAGCGACATCATCATGCGGCTCGCACGAGCCCGCCACCGGGTGCCGATCGAGGGCGTGACCTGTCTGCACACCTTCGAGACCTTAAGTCCTAAAGGCATCTTAGCAACAGCCCAGGCTCAGGCCAGTCCCATGTTCTGCTACTCTGATTGTTCGCACCTCCGAATGTTCCAAGGTTCTGCAAGCATTGCACCTCCCGGACACCCAGGACTCCCTGTCCCGAAATCGTAGCACAGCCCAACCTAGCATCTGCCAACCGTCCAACTAGCCTTCTTTGCAGGTGAAGCCCGCTTGTTCCGTCCCGGCCGGTGCTTCTGAGCTGATTCAATCGGAAAGGTTGGAACCTGCCGAGACAATCTCAGATTGCAGGCACGAGTCGAAGAAACCGCCGAGGCAAAGCAACACGTGTAGGGGCCTTGAGCAGCAGGCTTAAGCGGCACAAGCAGACAAGTCATCCAAAAGAAGAACCACCCATCATTCGTTTCGAGCACCCCGTTCGGCAGGGCCGCAGCCAGAGACAGCAGATCTGATATGGCAATTTAATGACACAAGCCTAGACAGCGGAATGCCGTTCTTGGCCATGCTTCCTGCTTCTCGCATCTTGCTGAGCCGGAGGTCGCTCCCACTGCGCAGCTTCGAAACCCTCGGTGCAGGGGTACCTAGGCTTCTTAGCCCCGGCCCAAGCCTCTCAGCGACCTCCGAATGGAGGCCTGCCAGCCGCTGCACCTGGGGTCGCTTGCAAGCACGTCACGAAACCGTCTCACCACCAAGCGCTCGGTGTTTTTAGCAATTCTTCATGAACGACATGATCAGTAACACCCTTCAGACTGCAACGCAACCTGATGCAGGCCTTTCGAAGCAGACTAGAACCTGGACCCGCGAGCTCCGAGCCTAGGCTCTGGTCTCTGGGTCACTGCAGCAATCGCAGGCAAGTCTGAGTTTCAGAAGACGTTTGTTGCAACCGTAAATGTCGTCTGCTCCGCAGGTGAAGCCAGCAGCGACACGATCACACGGGTCACACGAGCCCGCCACCGTAAGCGCTCAGTGCGCAAGTAAGCAGCCAATGGCGGTAGTCTGCCAGCCTTCTGCAGGAACCACACGATCCTTAGCACCCTTCAAGTTACAATGCAAGCGGATGTAGGCCTTTCGAGGCAGACCGGAACCCGGAGTCGCGAGCAGAAAGCCCTTCCTGTTGAAGCGGACATGGGCGGTTACAATCTTGACTAGCGGGCACCAGGCCTTGAAGCATCTTGTCTAAGCAAAGCGCCGTCAAGGCACCTGAGTCTCAGCTTCCACGTCAAGGTCGCATGCGACGGCGCAGGCCCAAGCTTCTCACAACTCTCTTTTACAGCCTATAAACCTCCGCGGCCATCGTGGGGTAGAAGCACTC